AGAGCTGATGGTTTCTTGATCAACTCATCTCTATAAATATAGTGTGGCACTTCTGGTTTTTTATGAAATTGAATTTCAGACATTTTTTGATGAGATGGAGTGAAGAAAGAGAGAATATTCAATGGAGGGATGTGTAGAAATATGCATTATGAGTCTATATATAAAATTTCATGGTGGGACTATGGCATGGAGCACAATTTGGGACTGCGGACTAAGTCTTTGACGTTTTTCTTCAGTCAATTATCATATACAAGAATGATGCAAGAGAATAGGTAAACAAGAAAAAGACTGAAAGCTCCTGTTTTTGGCATCTTTGCAGTTGAAAACAACAAAACAGGGCTCAAACTCAAAATTTTGACCCAATTTTAACCACATTCATTAATAAAATAATGTTAACACTCAAACTCAAAAAATTTCTTAATTTTTTAACTATATATTTCACATCAATACACAATTCAAAAATGTATTTTTTTTATAAAAATATGACTCAAATAAGCCCTAAATATGTTTACTTACAAGAACTTAAATAAATATCGAAGATTATAATTAGTAAAATAAGGCAAAATAAGTAGTAGGATTTTATCTTGATTACTTCAATTTATTGTAGGTGAAACCTATTACGTGTTAAATTTAATTAAATATAATAAATAAATGTAGTCATTTTCTCTCATGTCAATATCATAGTTAATTTTCCAATGGAAGATTTGACTAGAATTGATGACAAAATTAAAACGCGTTTTCTCATCGAACCAGTCAATGGGTTAATACGCTGAAATAAATTGAAGAATTTAGTAACTTGTATAATAAAATTGTACATAAGGAGTTACATAATATGATGTATGGGAAAACATTGAATAAAAAAGTTAATTATATTTTAAACTAACAAACGATAGAGTGTCATGTAACATTATATAATCTATTAGGTAACCAACTATGCAACCACTGATATAATAAGATCCTAAATTGAATGATAGGCTGAAAATTAATTTAGTGCCCTAAGGATAGACTCGGGCTAGTCATCTTTGGCATGTTTCTCAACAATTTGGAGGCTAGCCCTACTTGCTATTTATTGTGCAATTTCTTGTACAAGTATAATTTAATCCTCGGCCTTCCAAATACTGTGAAAATAATTCTCTAACCTTCAAAAGGAAGGTTTTGACTCCCCAACCTATTTAGTATTGCGAAAATTGATAATGTGAAAGTTAAAATCGCACCTGCTTTTCACGCTGAAATAAAAATAAAAATTAAAAAAATTAAGTGGTTTGACATATTTATTTTCTAACTTTAGTTCACACAAAAATTACATTCATGTTGTTTGTTTCCGATCGTAAGAACTCAATCTTGTAACTTTAAATAGATTTGGGAAGCGAAAATCTGACATTTTAAAATTAATGAGCTTTTTCCACACTTTCTAAAAGGTTTGAGAGTGAAGGCTTAATTTATTGAATGATTGTAATACCAATCGATGAAAATAAGTTTATCCATTTTTCGTCTTAATTTCCAATTTTGTGATACATTAGGGGTCAATTAGCAACAATCTAATAATAGTCAAGATTTTATAAGACGTAGGGCGTGCAGGTAAGCCTCAAGGCTTATTAGCGGAGGTGTAGTAAGATGTTTTTCTAATTTTAGTATATTTTATATTATTTAAATCAATAAACAAATAAAATATCGAATGTCTTGAAAATATATGAATATTATTATTTATCTTCATTAGGATATGATCACCAATTTATATGGCATGTGATGCACTATGACTTCTAGTAAATGTGTAGGAGTCCTAGTTAATACCAAGTTGTCGAGAACCGTTATTTATAAATGGTAACGTAGTCATAAATCACGAATGTTGCTTCGGGTACAAAAATCACTGATCGTCAAAGGCATATATTCCACCATATGAAAAAATTTGTATAATTATGTAGAATCTCTCACAAACTCCAAAATATTACAGTCCACGACTATCTTACAAATTGGAATAAATAAAAGACTAAGGCGAGACTTTATTTATAAGGAGACAAAACAAGGACCTTTTGATATGCATTCAACGTGGGATTCAACGTAGGAAATTAAAAATAATATTGTATTTGTATGTATAGGCAAACACAGTCATATTTTAAATAGGACAATTTGAAGTAAAAAATCCTAACATTTTTTTCTTTGCAAAGAAAGTGTAAATTGATATTTTTTTTGTGATCACATTTACATTCTTATTATTTTAAGAAATTAAGCCTCCATTTCAGAAGAATTCGTATGCAGTTTGATTTATAAATAAATAAAAATAAGTGATGAATAAGTAGATAGTATTTGTAGGGTCATTGCAATGTGTGGTTGAATAAAAAATTTGATCATTTATAAATTAGCCAAACGGAAGCGCAACATTTCGCTTCTGTTCATACTAATATTCATCGTATTTTAGGGTGATTCATTTCTACCCAAGTAAAAGTAAAAATTCTAGATACTGTAGGCCGAGCCTTTACGGTTGAGATGCGCCAAGCTCGATTGTAGTGGTGGACCGGCCCATGTTGGGGCAGTATGTCACATTTTGACACTTCAATAGCGAATAAATAGTAATAGAACTTATCTAAGTCGCTTGCAACTCAATTAGAAGAAAAAAATTTGGAATCTAGGATGACCAGCAAATATATATTCAATTTACAGTAAAATAAATGCAACCTTTTCTACTCTTCGAATCTACTAAGAACTAAATGAAAATAGTTTATCAAAAAGTTCATCATCGGAGTTTCAAGAAGAGATGAAGTTAACACGATTAACAGGGATTCGAACTAGCTCTCGAGCTACATCCTTGAATTCAAGCGCTCCTCCATCTTTAAATTTTGATAGCAATCGAACGGCCTCTTCTTCAGTCATCAATATTTTCACTTTAGTC